TGGTTGTAGAAAAGCTCTTTAAATTCGTTAGCATAGCTAGCTAACCAGATGCTAATAACAACAGATCGCCACTGTGCTTACAACTAAAGACACAGCCTCGCAAACACTGCGGCATGTGTACGGCTCCTTATGGGTACTGCAATATTTGAAGAGCTGGAGCGGCGTTCCGGTGCTCTCCGTTACTCCTTTCAGACGAGACATAACCACGTTACGTTACGCTCGTGTTGTGTTCAATGAACCTGTCCTTGGCAAGGAAAAACAGGCACTCGCTTGTTTAATTATTTTGCGATCTAGATTTCTTCTTGTTTTTTGAATTGAGAAGTTGTCCGTCAGTCGGACGGACGGACCCCCCCCCCCAAAACGAAAACTCTTTGGTTCTCCACGAATTACACAAGTGACCCAAATCAGCGTTAAAAAAGCGGGAGGCGCCGAAAAGCGACTAATTTACATCACTGATTAACATCTCCGTCCTAGGAGGTGTGTTGCAGAAAGAAACATGGCGCTGCCTGCTTTACCAAGGTTTGATTTTCATACAGAATGATCCAAAGGAGGGTTAGACAATTCTCCATTATATATTTTTCACCCAGAACTTTAAAAAAAAACAAAACATCTATTCAATATCACACATGAACATCATACAGTCGACACCCAGACCTTATTTTCTTGACAACATTTTTGAGCACATCTATTTTACCTGTAGCTGCGCATATAGATCTTCCCATCCAGGGCTGTGAAGTGCAGGACGTGTTCCAACCCTGCCAGTCGTACAGCGGACACAGTGGGACCTCTGAAGAAGTCTGAGAGGTGGACATAACTGATATTAGCACAAAAAACCTTTTTTAAGAGATGCATTCTCTGAGTATTATAATTGTTTACCTATGAGCAGACTCTTCAGACGTTTGTGTTCGTTGTCTGTATCAAAGGCCTCGCCTGCAAACACTAGCATCGGTTTGGTCCCCTCAGGACATTTACTGTTCTGCAATAGAAACAGATACAGTGTGGAATCACCAGTTTACTCTCAAATATTTAAAAAAACTGCACAGAAAATAATGATTGCATTTGTTCTATGTGACTGCGACTGACATGTCATCTTTGTATCCTATACAAATCTACACCTCTGGAAAAAGATTCAGTATTTAGTCAATAATTGAGCGACACAGATAATAATAACAATATCACATACTTATAGCGTTCTAGAAACTCAAAGACGCTTTGACTGAGACTAAATCAACAACAAAAACAAAGAGAAATACAAAAAGAAACAAGCAAAAACAGAAAAGAGGGGAGGTGGTCAGAGTTTGAATACAGTGTTGAACAGGTGAGTTCTGAGTGATTTTTTGAATGCAGTGAGGGAGTAAGAGTCTCCGATGGGTTTGGGTAGTGAGTTCCATAGTATAATACATGGAATTTGCATAGTGCTTTTCCTAATGCTTAAAGACGCTTAAATGGTATTAAAAAAGCAATAATTTGTTCAGCAATCCCTCGGTGATATTGAGTGGCAATAGTCACCACACATTACATGATGCGCCCATTCACACTCATTGGAAAAGGGTGATTCTTAGCTTTTTCAATTATATATTGGTTATCATTTTCCAAATATAAGGCAAAATATGTTACATAAGATAATTCCATTACTGAGGCACCATTATGGGTAAAGGGTTTTCAAAAGCTTCATATTTTGAGGGCAAAGCACCCCTTGAAAGAGAGGACTGTTCTTATTGAGTTCAGATGAAAACCCACCGCACTAAAACGTGTTCTCTCATTATTTTAATGAGAGATTTCCAACTCTTAACACACTGGCGACACATTTATGTATAAAACATAGGTGACCTTTTATGAATATGGCATTGAGAGTTGCATATGACCAAAGCCCTAAAATAAGCAGTGCTCAATGTATATCAACCGTAGGTCACGACATAACAGGCTAAAAATTAAAGGTTAAACGGGGCATACACTTGCATTGACCCTGCATCCCAGTGTGACAGACAGAAAACACAGGTTACTGACAACGAGCTTACCTTGATCTCACTCAGAGCAACGTACTTCTCAACTCCAAGTTCAACCATATCCAGCAGGTGAAAGTCAAACATGCGACCTGCAAACAGTGACACATACATCATTCAGCATGCACTGCTTCAAAGATGAACATTCTGAAAGAAAGCGTGAATAGTTACATATTTTTTATAATAAGATTATGTTAACAGTAGGCTGGTACTTGTCAACATGGGCGTTTACTAGACCCCTTATAATCAGCATGTGATCATTTTTCAATATTAGAAATAAATACATTTAGACAAGTGACATGTGAAAGCAAAGATTTGTGTGAGTCACGTAGGAAGAGAGAGTTTACCAAATATAAGGTTGTTGGGTCGTTTCTTGTTGTGGGAGCCAAATAGAAACAGAGAACAGTCTGTCTTCTTAGAGAAAAATTCCTGATGGAGTTCAAATGATAATAATGATTAGTAAATACTGGAAAACATGAATGTTTTAATTGTAATAAAGCATTGGGAGAGTTCCCTCTTTTGTTTATACTTACCAGTGATGTTGAGTCCTCAAATGGTCGTGTTATGTTCTTCCTGAAAAGCAAATACAGATTTCATAGACGGCAGTTAGTTAACATGTTTCCTAACCCTCACCGGCCTGTGTGTCATCAAAGGTGCAGTCTGACCTGCCTGATATTCTTTCCACCGTTTTTATTCCTTAGCCATTGTGTGCATCGTTTAGAGGCTTTAATCGTCTTTGCCATAGAACATTATTGTATTGATTTAAACACTTTTATTTTCACTCAAGACAATTTAGTGTAAATATATTTCAAATTCAGCTTTGTTTTATGTTCGATTCAGCAGTGATTCTGCTGTATAATGTAGGGATATCACTACAGCAAATAGACACCGTTTTATAGTTTATCTTAAAAAAGGATGTTAGAAGACACCAGGAATCCTGCCAATTCAGAGAAGTGGTTAGGGCAGTGTCTGTCTCTCATTTTCGGTGGAATTAGTACCAGGAATATAGATTGTGGGCCCATACAAGTAAAGGAGAAATTATTTAATACAATTATAGTAAAATAACATTTAATAGTTCTTTAAATGCTCGTTGATCATGATAATTTAACTGGTAGATTACTTGAAAATAAAAATATAATGATATACTGTTATAGTGTTAATTTCCCTTACTTCTTGTACAGCACAGCATTGGGCTTCTTCAGAGAGTACTGCAGGAAGAAACATGGTGAATTTATAATCCTGCTAGTGAGGCAGCAGCTTTCATGGAAATGCGTGCAGCAATGGAAATCATCAGTATTCCTGTGATCATCTTTCACACCCTCTCATCAAAGACCCTGTCCAGGTGAACCTTCCTCTATAATCAAATGTCTTTACTTCACAGCAGTGGAGCAGTTCTTACTCACATAACAAATACAATAGGCGCTTTCACACCAAGTACCTTTCCCAAGAATAGTTCCCGGAACTTTTATTTCCTGGAACAATCTAGTAAATCGCGTTCACACTGGAATAAGT